TTTGGTTTTCGAAATTAACTTACTGAGGGAGGGAAAGATCCCATACTAAGGGTTTTTCATAAAAACAGAACCTTGGAGATTTTTTTTTTCCCCTGCTACTTACTAAGTAACCACATTTTAATATTTCCTGATATTCAGTAGTATTTTGTAGTACGATCAGCTCTGTAAACTCGGTTAAAAATAAAATTGCCACAAAAGGACGTGTGAAGTTTCATCCATCGATGAGTTATATTATTTTAAGCAAAAATTTACCTTTGAGAAAAAAATCTGTGTTGAACTTTTTACCAAAATTAAATGTATGCTTTCTATTGAGTTGGTTTTAGGATCAGGTGTTTTTTTGTTGTCCTTTTCATTTTTATCCTTAAATTCTACTTTGCACTTAATAGACTTTGAAAAATAATTCAATCTTTCTCTTACATGTCAATTTAAAAATAAACTAACTAAATTAGGTGTGTGGCCCTAACCTGTTTGGCTCAGTGGATAGAGCATCAGCCTGCGGACTGAAGGGTCCCAGGTTCAATTCCGGTCAAGGGCATGTACCTTGGTTGCGGGCACATCCCCACTAGGGAGTGTGCAGGAGGCAGCTAATCGATGTTTCTCTCTCATGGATATTTCTGACTCTGTATCCTTCTCCCTTCCTCTCTGTAAAAAATCAATAAAATACATTTAAAAAAATAAAAATAAATTAGGTGTGTGGAATTATATTAAATCGCACTTGAAATGTATTTCACTGGTAAATTTCATAGTATTCTAAAATTACCCTGTATGGAAATAAGTAACCATCTGCATGTTTATCTGAGCATTAGAAGAGTGAAAATTAGTGTACATTATGCCTATTCATGCAAATATCAGGGTGCCTTAAAAATTCTGTGCTTAGTGATTTGGTTTATTTGTTCCAAGTATCAGTTTCTTCTTTCCTCTTGACACTGAAAAACAACAACTTGTTTTATTGTTGCATCTGATAGTAATCTGATATGACTCATCTAGTCCTGAATGCTGTATATGTTTAAAGTTGTCAACATGTTTTTTGTTCAACAAAATCTATTCCTGAGAAATAATTTTTGCTCTTTCAGTTAATGAGTAATGTTTTTGTCTTCTCCATAGGGAACACTAGAGGTGTTAAACTATCCTAATGAATACCTTACACACAGCATGATACTAAGTTGTCAACTAAAATACCCGTTCAGTTCAAATTATACTGTAAGTGTAACAAAAGAGTAATTGCATACCATCTGAAAGCCCTCCCTGGAGAAATAATGTTGACTGATCATTCCAAGTTGATGTGCTTCAGTAAGAAATGGGTTTCCTCTTATGGGGAGAAATCTGAGACCATCTTTATTTCATAACCTTTTGTTAATGACCAAGATTTCTAATAATCAACTACACTTGGTGGAATAGGTTTTAATTTACTAACTCCTATATTCTTGAGGGAAGTGCAAAGCAATGAGTTGGCCATTGTGAGCAATACAAGAGAATAAGAAAACATCTGTCTAGGGGTAAGGTTAATAAAACTGGATATATAGTCCAGTTAGTTGAAATGATTGTCCAACAGCATATTGTAAATGTTTTGGCCAAAATGAACGGATACAGCCAATATGTACTGAAGGGTAAAGCCCACTTTTATGTCAAACAAAAATACAAAGGAAACTACCAAAGTAAGATTAAAGAAAACCTTACAAAAAGTACTAACATGCAAATACTAGTAGGGATTGTACAAATATATAAGTGGAAAGGAATCCCAGGCATGCATTAGGTTTGAAAAATGAGACATAAAAGAAAAGTCATTTAAGCATAACAATCATTAATAAGTAAGAGAGAAAATATTTCTCTTTGGAACACGATATTTATTACATAAATGAATAATCTATTATGTATTAAGCACCTACTAAGTGCCAGGCAGAGTGTGAGCGTGTGTGTGTGTGTGTGTGTGTGTGTGTAATTCATGAAACAGTACTATAAATAAGGTATCATTTTCCAGTTGAGACTATTTGAGACCCAGAGTTAGTGAATAATTTTGTTTTGTGTCATACATTACTAAGTAGTACAACCCATAACAACCTATGTCTTTTTGACTAAAGCCAAAATTCTGACCGAGTCGTTCAACCCATAACTGAATGTATGTCTTTTTTAGTAGGTTCACAAAGCAGCATTGCTTCCTTTCTGATTCATAAAATTTTAGACTTAGAGGCGATTTTAGAAGTAATGCCATGTCTATTGCTATTATCCCTGAGATGTTATTGAATCCGGCTTCTCCACAAATAACACTTCCATGAGAAAGTGGGCATAGGATGGCTCACTTCGCTTTTGCAAAGTATGGAAAGATCTTAAGTTGAGTTAGTATCTGCTCTGTCTATATTACGTAACTTCTTCCCATTGGTTGCAGTTCTGTCTTCATGAGTGAGATTCAGTAAGCTTTTCCTCACTCTACTGGGTCCTTGCTAGGTCTCCTCTTTTCTAAGTTAAATATTACAACCCCTGCAACTTCATGTGATATGGTTTCCTTTACCGCTCTCATCTGTCAACTACAGTCAGTTTTGTCAGTGCTATTCTTTCTCTGGTCTGGTTCCCTATTTAATTCTGCAGTTATGGTCTGAATATAGTGCCGTGAAATTATGTCTTTCCTTAATTTAAGCAGTGCACTTGTGTTTGCGGCTCCAATTGTGTTAACTCTTGAATTACAGGAAAGTGAGAGAAAAGATGTTACGTGGCTTTTCAAGTCATAGCTGTGCGAGTCAAGGGATATATATAATATCCTTTTTTTTGCGATTCTGATTTCTTCTTTTCTGATGTGAAAATGACCCTTCTTTATGAAATGAGAGTGTTAGGTGGTAAGTTTCTTTGCACATTTGTCTTGGATTCCTTGGTTTGGTCTTAATGTTCTTCAATAAACAATAAAAAGTTGGCAGCTTGATATTGTTTCTCTTTGTTTTTTTTGAAAAATTGGTCTGGAAACCACTGATGTCAACATAAACCAGCATCTTTTTTATGTTAAGATTTCTCCAGTCTGTATATACACGTACACAGTGTTTTGGAAGCCGTGCTATTTACCTTTAACTTTTTAAAATCATCTCTTTGAATGTAGCCAGCGTCACAACTTGTTGAGATCGTTTTGAATCACGATTCTGTCATCCCAGGGATTAGCTTCCCTTCCTGGCTTTTTGACATTTACA